CGGCACCCCCGCCGCAGGAAGTCCTTTGAGTACGAGGATGTAGAGCGTCTCACAGCCCAGCAGGGGAACAGGGGGAATGAGGACGCTCACCCAAACCTCCACCATGCCTACTCTGATGACAACATTTATGAGGATATTGTGTGTAAGTCCGATGCATCACTCAGCACATCACAACTCTTTAACAACAGTTTTTTAACTGTGACATCATTAACATTTTTCCCTGCTGGCAAATTATATGTCTTTACAAACAAAGATTTAAGCTGTCACTTGTTAAAAGAGCAGCTGTAGCCTATAAATGTTACTTAATAGCAGCCATGTGGGACTATTTTTTTTAAATTAAAAATCTGTTTCCTTGTAGCGCATCTTCTGCATTCCTTCAGTTTATCTTTGAATGCCTTACAGGTATATTAAAAAACTAAATTTAGGTCTTCTCCACATCAGATCGTCAGAGATACAGCTCAGTTAGAGGCCAGACTGAGATGGTTTGGACATGTCCAGAGCAGGGACAGTGGTATGTTGGTAGAAAGATGTTAGAGACGGATGCAGTTAGAGGACACGCTGGTAGTTGGGGTGAGGACAGTGTGAGATGGAGGAGAATGACTTTTTCTGAAGAGGGAACAGCTGAAAGAAGAAGTCAGTGAAAACCTGCATTTGTTAGCGCCTTCAGCAAAAGTAAAGATTAAATCAACTTCGTTAACTTTTTAAAAATGATTTCAAAATAATTTTTTGGGGCACTGCTATGTTGTATTTATGGAGCTAGACTCTGTGTTGTACCATCGATACGAAAGTCCTGCCCCACACATCCTCCCAACCCTGTCAATCACAGTCTAACAAAAACTCAAATAACTAATTGAAACTAAGTGAATAAATWWWAAAAAAAGGCTTGTTTGAACATACAAGGTTAGTGCTACATGGTTCATACGGAGGAGTGGGACTTACCCATAATTTACACTAGATGTGGTTCCACTCTGCTCYGCTGCGAAGCACARATGAGGTCCAAGAAACGTGTGTCGAAAATGCAAGATCGCGCGATAAATCCAGTGATAAATCCAGTGATAAATGTGAAAGTCAGAGCAAAATAATTAATTCTGTGGAAGACGGACTCCAAACAGAGTTGAAACTGCATCGCTGTCATCTTTTTGAGACTTCTGATTTCAAAATAAAATCCACATGWATCATGTTTGTATGCATRTGCTGCACGCTACATGTTGCCATCTGCTTACTAAACAGAACGAATCATTTTGACAGCATTTATCTWTAAATATACAATRTATCTATWATTTTAACWGGATTTTGACAAAATTAATCTGCCTTTGGAGAATAAGAAAAATACAGATGTTCTCGTTCCTTTTCCTGTTGGCCTGACGTGATCTTTGTAGATTGACTCCAATTGAATTAGGGATGCAAGTTATGGATTAATRAATTAATCTAAAGTTGATTGATCTTATCAATCGACTAACGATTAATTGATAAGCAGCCATTTTCCTAAAAACCTGACATTTCTCTTGAATCAAGAGTCTTTCTATAACATGAAGGGCTCATTTTTTACATGCTAAATTTAAAAAAAAAAGGTACAGTATTATTTTAACAATTCAGTGTGCCAGCTGTGTTAAACACTGACTGAATAAACAGAAAAATGTGGATTTCTCTCACATTATCAAACTTGGACACATTTATAAAATATAACAAAACAGGAGTTACATCACACAGATGAGATTAACTTMAAGTTAATTATTTGTAGCGACTGTAACTTATTTGTTTTTGGTTTTTATTAGGTTTCTATTTGGAAAAAAAGAGAGCAAAATAAGTAACACACTTMATCCACCCTGATGGTGAAAAACTCATTTAAACACAGGGTAATATTTTAATCTAAAGATTTACTCAAAAACAAGCTATATACATGACCTGAGAGGGGTAAACATACAAACGAGTACTGGAACTGTTTTGTTTACATTGATTGATTGTTTTGACATCTGTTACTTTTGATTTGATTGTTTCACTGGCCRGGTTACATCACACAGATGAGATTAACTTCAAGTTAATTATTTGTAGCGACTGTAACTTATTTGTTTTTGGTTTTTTATCACACGAGTTGAACTCAACAAGAAGAAGCTAACGTTAGCCACATTTAGCTTACCGTCCTCTGTCGTTTTGGTCTCTTGTTTTAAGTGTCATACTGCTGGATGGTCCGGTACAGCCTGCGGTAATTTTCCTTCGAGTTTGGTGTAGTCCATTATTATTGTGTCACAAATAAAACAAAAAAAGATTTGTGAGTTTCATTACAAAATAAAGTTTTCAATTAATCGAATGGAAAGAATTTTAATCTAATAAACCATTATTCAACAATTAGTCGTAAGTCGATTAATTGTTTGCATCTTTAGATCGAATCTAATTTTGGTGGATTGCCATCCATTAACCGCCGCCGTGCCGAGCCAGTGTAAATACTCATTGATTATAATGGTTGTGTATTTGCTGCAGAGGTTGGAGCAGAACCACATCTAGTGTAAATTATGGGTTAGAAATTGTCCTGGTTAACGTTTGTGGCTTCAACTTTCTTGTCTGGTTATAAAATATGTTGCTGGAAACACAAACAAAAGAATTTAGAATTCCTGGTGTGTTGACCCTCTGGTCAAACTAAAAATCAGTTTGTCCCTACATGTGGAGCCATCCTGTTTATTATTTATCATCACCTCCCAGGTGAAGGCAGCACAGATGATTCCTATGAGGATGTTAAACTGTCCACCATGTGTCTCCCCACTCTCAGGCCTCAAGCTGCAAAGGTAAACATTATGTATGTAAATCTTGTACTTTTGTTATCTCTGTATCAGTGAAACATAAAACTCATCTCACCTGAGATTTATTTTGYCTAAGTTTCCCCCCAAACTCCAGACCATGCATGGAAACGCCAGCAAAATGGACAAAAAGGGGTTCCAAGCCTTAACGGGGTTCAAATCTTCCACCTTCGCGATCACTCCCAAACCTGTTGCACCTCGACGCACGAGCGTGCAGAGAACTCAGAGAACACCTCAGGTGAGCAGCTAMCCATTGTCTTACGCACCGAAAAATATTTTTATTGTTTTCATGCGACGGGGCATGTGCCCTCTGCTATGTGATGAGTCACGGTCTGAGCAGAAAAAGCAGGGGGGTGGGGGGGGGGACTCGTTGAGCAGGAAGGAGAAGATGCTGAAAGCTGCTGATAGAACAACATGCGAGAGCTTCTCACAAATTCACACAGCAGTAAAGTAAATTTAAACTCATGGCGTTGGGAAACTACAGGATAAAGAGCTCCTTTCAAAACCAGGTAATAAAGAAAACTTGTTGATATGTGAGAGGTTTAGAGAAGAATTGTAGCTTGAAAACTTAGACGGTTCTTGTATTGTTGTGTTGGCAGCTTGGACAAATGTCAAATGTTTATTTTTAGATTATGTTTCAGCGTTTGTTTGTGTGAAACAAAGGCAAAAATGYTTTTTGAGGTAAAAAATTATTCTTTATAACAGGATTACCAAACTTTAGATCCGGTTTTTCTCAGTATGTTAGAAAGTCAGAATTAATATTTTTATCTAAATTCTGCCTCACACGGTTAAAAACGGGTTAAAACTGTTTTTTCTGTTTTTGTGTTGAACTCTTTTCGAACGGAGCGTTTCGTTCATTGTAACACAAGAATCTCTGGGTAAAACCAACGCTATAAATAACCTGGTTGTGATCTTAGAGGCTGTTGTGTAATAATGTACCGGAATGRTGGCAATGTTGACAGCTATGTGTGTGCATTTCTGCTTCACAGTACGTCACTAAGATTGAGACTATTTTTGACGACAAGCGAGGGAGGAAGAGGGTGAAGAACCAAGGGCTGTCAGTGCGAGGTGAGGCGTATTTAATGCTGCAGAAGTCCAAATGTCTCATATCAGCTTCTCCAGGAGGTTAACACCAGCCTCCTGGTGGAAATACCCAGCTTTTGATAATGCAGTTAAGGCCAGCTGCGGTAAGCAGAGCCTCTCATTATAAAACAAAAGGACGACTGTCCTGTGGGTGATTCTGTCTCACAGCCTTCTTGTTGCTCAGCTCCTCACTAACGTTTCTCCTTCATGGCAGCTGAGGAGACCAGCGGGACAGAGAGCGACCCTGAAGACGACACCAAAGGTATCACCTCACAGAAAAGCTGTTCTGTTAAAATAAGCTGACATAACTAAATAAATAAGATGCAGGTTTAATTAGAAGAAAACCTCATATTTGTAAGAATTCACTGACACGGATAAACTGACATAAATATTTTTGTTTGATCAAATGAGCACACAGAAGGAGAATTAAGTTAACACTCAGAGTTTAGGCTTTTATTTTCTAATTTTTGGGAGGCCAACTTTTACACTTAATTAATTTTAGAGTACAGCTTTGCAAACATTGTTACAAAAGCTATTTAATCTAACAACAATGAGCTGGTTAATATTGTGGAACATTTGAATTAAACCAGAACCTCACTTGGCTGCGGCTGCTGCAAGAAATTGATGAAAAACAGGCAAACATTGAATTAACTTTGGCAATCTGATGAAATAATCTGAAGCACAAAGTTTTAAGATGTTTTTGTTTTACAGAAAAGAGCCGTAAGAATTATTACAAGAAAACACTACAGTCATCAGTCCAATGCATTGTTTTGTCAGTTGAAATTATTGTTCTAAGTTCTATGATTTGGTTGATTTATAATGTTTTACAGGTTTTGTATAAGGCTCATAAATGTATATTACCTTTAAACAACCAATTAAATTTTGTTAATAGAGAAAGTTGTTATAATCTAAAGGGGGTAGAGATGAACTAGTTTGAGGGAGCGGTGTACTTCGATACAAGGAATAAGACTGTGGAACAACATGGAGTGATGTCAAAATGCCAGATCAGTGTTTATGTTCAAGAGAATGATAAAAGTCACTTTGAAATATGGAACAATATCGTGTGTATTCATACGAGTTGTTGTTTGACAAGGATTTAAGGTTGTTTTTGTTTAGTTTTTCTTGTTTGTAGATTATTATTGTTTAAAGGGGCGCTGTGACATGGAAGCTCAGTGTAGTTTACTTGGCATCTGAAAATACATTTCCTCAAAAGGTATTTTGAATTTGAAAAGGGCTGCGCTCAGAAGTAGTTTCAGTTTCACTTTCAGTTTCACCAGTTGTTTGCTTTGTTGCTGCAGAGAGCCTCCAGGAGCTGCGTTTCCATTGCAAATGTGCGCAAAACTTTGTCGATATGCTGTTAATGTCGAAAGAATACAGGTTTGCAATTGCGGTGTTTCCATTAAGTAAGAAATGCTATTAAAGTCACGCGTGAATACATTTCTTCTCACGATAAATCATTACAAACATGGCGGCGATGGATGTAAACACACGCTGCTACCATGACACTAGCGCTCATCATCAGCCATCAGAGGAGACGTTGGCATCTTATTGAGGCTTTTGAGTGACAAGCCCCTTCTACCTGAGAGTATGCTGCGTTTTTGGGAAATTGTAGTCGGTGATTTTACTACTTTCTTTTACAACTTTGTTGATTTTACTACAACTTCTACTTCCTGTTGTCTTTTTCGCCGTCATCTTTTTCTCCAGTAGAAACAGCCGGTTGTTGATCACGTGACTCCCGTGATGCGAAAAAAAAAGTGTTTCCATTGACGTTTTGCGAAACACACCAATTTCGAAACGGCCGAAAAACCACCTCATCCAAGCGCAAAAACCTTTTGTCGAAAAAAAGGAAGTTTTTTCGAAACTGACGTGTTTCCATTGAGCAAATTTATTTTCGAAATTCTAATTTGCGCATTTTCATGGTGAATGGGAACGCAGCTACAGGCGGGTTGCGGGGGTGGGGARTAGTGCTCTGTGATGAGGAAGCTCAGCTTGTAGACACAGCCCAGAGGAGGAGCTGAGCCCAAAAGGTGGYTCTAGTCCCAACCGGTGGTTTTTGCTCCCCTGCCTGCTGCCTCAGGACACTACAGGATTTCTCAAACATGCATGAATGAGTCAAAGTAAGACTCYGRGCATGTTTTTAATGAGAGGATAACATTATAACATGATATGAAACTCAAAAAAAGTTGATTTTACATGATATAGCCCTTTAAAAATATTAATTTTGGGAGGAAAAATGGCGCRGATACTATAAGATTTTATTTTCTTCTTTCTTCCTTTCATTTTATTTGTGATTTGTATTTTTTATTGTATATAAATGTATTTTGTTATTTTTAAAGAAATGAATAAAGTTTAAAGGAGTCTGTTTAGAGTAAAATATAACAGATATAAGCCTTAAATGATATTTAATGCTTTATGTCTTTGCTTCAGTAGTTGTCCACAGAGGTTCTCAGTTCTCTTTAATWCCCTAATTCCACCTTGTCCCACTCTGTCGTCCAACAGGTTCCAGAAGATCAGTTTACGTTCAGTCCACGCTGAGACGGCGGGCTGGATACCGCACCCTCGAGAGAGACTTGATTCAGCTGCAGCAGCAGCAGCTCTTCCAGATCTTCGTGGTGGTGTCGCTGAGAAAAGGCTCGGCAGGAAACACCTACTCTCCTGAAATCACGCAGCAGTTCCCAAAAATGGTCAGGAGCCTTTACTTTATCTCTGCCTCGTGTCCTTTCATCACACAGCCTCAGTTTTAATCACTTTAGTTGAAAGGAATTTGGAAACTTTAGTCAGTTTTACTCTTTGCAAAAATAAACGAGGATTTTAGTTTCAAAAAAATCCTCGAGGAGGTCTTTTTATGATGAGTCACACATAATTAATTCAGTGATGATTCAGAACAGATGACATTTGAACTGATGGATTTTTATTTTTTGAGGCATATTTTTGTTCTAATCCTGATTTCCGCTGATTGAAAGTCATATTTAACCACAGCCTCTCTGTTCCAGTTTGAGAAATCGTCCCGGATCTCCAAAGAAGCYGAGGATCAACTGAAGGTGATTCCAAAGTTCTGCTTTCCTGACTGTCAAGACTGGAAACCTTCTGCTCAGATGCCAAGGTCAGCTTTCACCCTGCACTAAAGTTTTAACAACAAACCCCACAACAAGAGCATTATGGTAACATAAAGTGATTATCTTACAGCTGTGCTTTGCTTTTACTATATGAACATTTAATGYATTTTAAAATACAGTTCGATTCTTGTACTCTCTTTTATTTTATTGCTMATATTTCTTCCTTTTCTCCTTACATCCTCAGCTGTCAGACATAAACCTTAAATTGCTGCAGCAGCTTAMATTTCCCACAGGAGTAAATGAAGTAAATTTGGTTAAATCTTTACGTATAAAAGGGAATCAGACATATTTTTTAAATCTTTTTACATCTTATGGTTTATTGTTACAGTGAGGGTTCTAATCTAAACTTGTTTATAACTTTTGAAAARCCCTGAAACTGTTTACCTTTGTCCTCTCTGTAGAAAAGTAAGTTATCAGATTCTGTTTTTCCCGGTTTGATGAAATAGTATTTGTGATGTTTTGTTTACAGTGAGACGTTCTCCTTCGTCCTGACCGGAGAAGACGGGAGCCGCTGGTTTTGTTACTGCCGTAAGATCCTGGTGAGTCTGGATGAAGTTGCTGTGTGAATCATGGACTCGTGTGAGATGTTCTGGCAGCTGGCCAGCTTCTTAGTCATCATCTCTGAGGACGTGTGAATCACAGACCATAAACCATCTCTGCACGAATGACGGAGAGCTGCAGGAATTTTATAATTTTCACCTCCATTTGGCCTCGTTTTAGCAGTGCTGTTGACTCGTTTAGCGTCGCGTCTTGGAGCCATCTGTTGTTGTTTATAGTTTCGACAGAACAGGCCTAAATAAAGTGCGGACACTTTAATCGTTATTGTTCAGTGAGTCAGTGGTGCCGTCATAAACGTGGACGCACTTTTGACTTTGGACTCTTTCCGCTCTGCAGCAGAGCTGTGTTAGAAACTATTAATGATGTTATAAAGAGAACAAATTAGCATTTTTACGTGTTTTTTTTTTTTTTTTGTTATAATAGACATCACTGCTGTACTTAGTTTTATGACTTGGGAAACTTTTGTCTTGAAGCCCAGCGGAAAGGGGAAAAGGCTTCCTGAGGTTCACTGTATCGTCAGCAAGTTGGGCTGTTTCGACCTGTTTGCAAAGGTAAACATACATATTCTGACATAAAAGTTTTATTAAAAGTTGTGAGGCACTGATTGGTTGGACTCTCTGTCCAGATCCTAGAAGAGGTGGAGAGGCGCAGAGAAATATCCCCGCCGCTGGTTTATCCTTTCATGCGCAGCGTGATGGAGGCCCCGTTTCCAGCCCCGGGACGCACCGTCACGGTGAAGAGCTTCCTCCCCGGCTCTGGCAATGAGGTAACCCCCACACAGGAAGTGTTGACAAGTGTCCCTCATCCAGAATGACTCAAAACTGTTGAGACGTGTGTCATCACTGATCAACGGTCATTACCAGGAAGAAGTAAAACATGCTGCAATCATTAAAACTYCCTGGTTCAGACAGTAAAGCTTGTTTATTTGGGCTTCTTTTATAAAGTATATGTATGTGCAGCTGTTCCACTCAGCTCGTCTGAACCCTTCAGGTGCTGACTCTGTGTCGACCCGTGGACTCCAGGCTGGAGCACGTGGACTTYGACAGTCTGCTGCAGTGCCTCAGTGTGGGGAAGCTCCTGCAGGTGTTCGCCTCCCTGGTGCTCGAGAGGAGGGTCATCTTTGTCGCCGACAAACTCAGGTACTGGTGTGGTAGTTTATCAATTAAATAAGTGTTATAAAATGTTGTTGTTGTGTCATGCATGATTAACTAAATGTTGTTGTTGTGTCATACACGATTAACTAAAAGTTGTTGTTGTTGTTGTGTCATACACGATTAACTAAAATGTTGTGTGATGCACAATTAACTGGTCCCAGAGTGAAGTTTCACTTTCATTCAATGTGATTTGGTGTTATTTTAATTCACTTCCCCAGAAACTGAATCACATTTGTGTTTCGATTCAGCTTTATTAATATGACTGATAAAAACAAAGTTTTTTTTTTTTTGTTGACATTTAATTTTGTTATTCACTGGAAACTGATGAGTGACAACAGTTCATCAGAATCCAAACAACTTTAGCTTCTRTAGAATTGCCTATTTTTTAAGCAATAATAATTTTCCTGAGTAATTTMATTTAATTTTACTTACAAGACTGATTTAATTAAAGGGGACATGTCATGCAAAAYCCACTTTTTTWAATCTGTTAAATACATTTTGTTGTGTACTTGGTCTCTCCTGATGATGTCTGTATTTTACTGCAGTGTGTTGTCCAGATGTGGCCACGCAGTGCTGGCGCTGCTCTACCCCTTCACCTGGCAGCACACGTTYGTGCCGGTGTTACCAGCCACCATGTTGGACATCTGCTGCTCCCCGACCCCGTTTCTCATCGGCGTGCTGGCGCCGTGTCTGCCGCAGGTGCTGGAGCTCCCCATCGAGGAGGCACGTCTGTCAGGAATCTCTCTTTTAATCCAGTAATTCTGTGCAGCGACTGAAGTTCCATGTTTTGGTTTTCTGTTGGCTGTAAGCAGCAGCAGCTTCTGCATGGAGTTACAGAGCTGAACTGATACCGTCAGTAAATGTTCCTTTTCTTGTTTTCCCTGTCAGGTGCTCATAGTGGATCTGTGTGCAGACACGTTTGTCGTTCAGGTGTGTACACACACATGGTCTATAATAGGAATCAGAGGTGTGGCTCCGCCTGGAACGATAGCTTTGCCTACACTTGTCCATAGTTGGGTGGAGTGTTTGGAGTGTGACAAAGAGAACTGGGCTCCACACAAACACTGGGAAGATAAAACTGCCAGAACAGAACAAAAACACGACGTGACACGATCGTCTGATTCAAATCTGCATGAAGGACCTTTAAAGGGATCCCTGATTAGTTGTAACTTTAGACTTTATTTGATAAACATTTATTTTAACTGCAAAATAAAGACTAAAAATACTGTAGGTAAATTTTTTTAAATATATTTTAACACGGACAGAGCCATTTTATTTAAACGCAAAGCATTCTGGGTAAACAATGAATTTGATGAGGTCATTGGTGCTAGTGAGCTATATCCACCCTGAAGGTTAATCTTGGACAATATCTGATGATCGACTCTTTTAAATGAAACCAGAGAG